ATTCGAATTCATGACCATCACGTCACAGCCTGAAGATGTAATGCGCAGCAGTTTCAGAAGAAATTTGTTACAACACCATCGGCGAAGCGAAATCGTCGTGTTTCGATGCTACCCAAGTTACTTTAGAGGACGGTATAACGGTCTTCAGTGAGTCTTCTCATGTCAAAACCATAAATAAAAAGCATATTATTCAGAACGATATTTGAACGAAAGTTTCACTAGTTGTGAGTTTATTTCAGAGGTAAATGCTGAACCTGCAGCATGTCACATTGACGGACGCTTTGCCCTTGAGTATAATTTGAGCGGTGCCGATTTCAAGTGTGAGATGAACTCTGGAAGTGAAGTGAGATCTTTTTTGTAGTTGCGATTGAGGTAGCAGACGCAGAACTATACCGCCTCTCCGATATTATGAGTTTTGCTTGGGATTGCCACTCAATTCAGGTTCACAACTGCCAATCTTCAAACGTTTTATCAGTGAAGTTCCGCAATTGCTCATTCCCAGACTTTGGTAAGAACTCTTTATAGTTATGCCAGACATTACAGAAAAATCTGATTGAATAAGTTCGTTTATTTTGATAATGAGAACAAGCAGCTACGCACACTACTGCACGCTTTCCACGATGGTAGCTTAATTGCTTTCTTCAATACTTTCCCATATACTTCGGGGGCAATGAAGCTTAGAGATGACTGTACCAAAGTTAGGAACTAAATTGTCGTTGCTTTCTGTTTCTTCATCTTTACAGTCACAGATCGACTCGAATATAATCAAATCGACTTTGTAATTAGAGCGGCTTTGTTGTAGCAGCAATCGCTCAGAGGCACAGTTCACGATAAATTCGTGGTACCCTTTCTAAGTTAAAAGTGGAAGAATCGCTTCTAAATAGTGCATCAATGATGAAGGAAGCGAGAAAATTCGCCGATTTCGAGAAAAATATGGTTTCTTAAAAGTAGGGAAATAGAGCTTAGACAAGGTTATCATGACGGAAATAACAGGGAAGGGGTATTCGGAAAAGTTTCAGCTGTTGCAGTTGCGCAAAGAGCTGTCTACATCTTGAGCTAAAATTGTCCAGAATTTCCTTTCACTGTCGCTATTGGTCATGACAAGTTGTTTGAACTTCCTGCATGGGTTCCCTGTGAATAGTGCAGCCTCAGCAATGCGGTTGAGGTTCGTCCGCGCATGCACGCTGGACAATCTATGGACATTTCAACGGTCTATCGACAGCGTCACCTTTGGTACACGAGAGGCATACAAATCTATCCTAGCGGGAGATCTCATGAGCCATTTTTCACGAAATGCGCCTTTAATCTTGATTCTGACGTGAAGTAATTTAAGATATTATTGAGCAAACGCTTCATGTCGATTGAGTCGACTCCCATTGCTCAAAGAAATGACTTCATTAAGTCGAAATTATCCGAAACTGCCTTTCACTGTCGCCATGTCGCCATGGGTTGGGCACGAGCTGTTCGAACTTACTACATGGGGTCTCTTGAAATGGCCGTTGAAAGTCGTCCACGATAGGTGAGGCATTCACAGGACACAATCTCTGGCCCGTTATTATGCCCTACCCAAGACGTTTTTCGACTTTAAAACGGGAACCGTTTTTTCGTGAATTGTGCCTTCAAGGCATGATGACGTTGGTCGTGTGTGATAGCTTGATTTGCGAACCCCTAGGATCCTCAAGAACAACGATTCGTCAAAACACCTTGCGAAGTTAATGTTCCATGACTGGAAAACTGTTGGTTTCAGAAGCCTTGATACTCGTCAATGCACTTGTTTTCAGATATGTCTCTCAAGTGTATTGGATCATTCCAAGGAGTGAACAATTCTCAATACATAATCGTCGCCAACGAGCAGAGCGAGGAGTACCGTTGTGGGGTAGAATACTACCCTTGACTATGCTTATGATTACCAAGAATTTTATAAGCTTGTGTGAAACCCTTTTAGTTATTGACGACATCTCCGGATCAGACCATTTCCATATACTTCTCCAGAGACTCTTTATGTGACCTGCTAAGCGAACACGGTGCCTTCGAATCGTATAAGTTGAAGCCAGGTAAGCCGTTCCATACGAGATTTTTTCCTTCATTGAGTTCAAAAAAAGACATGAAATCAACATAGAACCATTTGTTTACTCCTGACAAATTCTCAAGTGTTTCAGTTCAATCACAGAGCGTGGCTTCATCATGTCAGTTTCCCATTTGGTTACAAGGAGAGTACGACACCCTTACTGTCACAGCCGACTGGTTGCAGTATGCGCAAGGTGTTCAAGGCACGGTACCTGTATTATCTAAGTGTGTTCAAGTGATGGACGATCGTGTTCTTGTTTATTCTATAACGAAATGGTATGTCTGTTTACTACAACAAGGGTTCTACACCATGGTCGTTTGAAGTTCCTCTTTCGAAGTGTTCAAAAACGATAGTACATTGGGTTGATGAATAGAAGACCAGTTGACATTGAGGTTTAATCACACGGTCTGAACTAGAATAGTTCCATTAGTAATGAATGGATAGAGAAGGGAGTTAGCGTCCATGAAACGTAATTTCTTGGAATGAAACGGACGTATCCGCCTTTGAGTGGTTTGCGGACCTGATATCGCTGTAGAAGTACAGTAAACAGCGATCGAGCAGTGGCGTTTGCGCCATGTCCCTCACCTCGGCTGGTTCTTACCAGCAGTTCCAGCTCATTGTCAATTTCCTCCATTCAGGAGAGTTACCTTACTCTCATTTTTCCATGTTGTAAAGCAGCGGGAACTTCCTTTCCATGCATGATTTAGATTCTGAAATTGTTGTAGAGAAGTCGTAGAATGACCAGCTATGAAGTGGGTAAGAGTAGACGTACTAGGAGAGTAATTGCCTCCATTTTAAAGGACACAGGCAACATTGCAAAATACACACTTACTATTACTTACGCTTAATAGTCTTCCTGAGATTTTTTTTTAGGTCTGAAATTTCAGTGGAAAGATACGGTAACTGCCTAAAACACCTGCTTCTTGAAGTAGGGATTAGGGTAGACAGAAAGCCCACTAGAATTTCGGACAATGACCTTTACCATTTGCGCTTTACCCTTTCAAACTGAGGAAAACCAGTAGGGCGCGGGCAACACGAGAACTATGTTGCAAATTTAGCCGCTGTCGACAACGGCCCTGCAATCACTAGAATTAGGGCTGTACAAGATTACACTACGTGGAAAAATTTATCCATTTTTAACTGTGTGACACATTTAGCGGAGAACCTTTGGGTTATCATTGTCTGTGGTTCGCTCCTCGTAGCGAGAGCCTTATCGAGTTCAAAACTACCATTCCTCAAGTAAACCTCTTCCCAAATGCCTGCAGGTGAGTTGGAGTCAGCTTAATGCAAATGATCTATGCACATCTGAATTTGCTTCTTTGCAAATTGCTCCCAAAACAGAGTCGTCTTCATGAGTATGACAAAAAACACAATTCCATCATGAAATAACAACGCTGGGAATATTATTCGTGTAATACCTCTGCTTTTATGAGATCATGGTATTTTATCTGATGGTAGCTGTCTGTAGATTATCGTTGACAATTGTTGCTACTGTTGACTTGTGCAAAACGACCCGGTCAAAAAGGTTGGGGTGGTGGGACGAACCATGCCATTGGTTTTGTGTTTATGTATACAAACTAACTTGCACCAGAAAGAGCCGAAGATTCGAAGTACTAGTCCAATCCAAACAAAAACCCGAACATGTTGTGACGATCATAATAACTAATAGGTTGGTGCATAATTATTGCGGATTTTATTGTGACCTCTTTTCTCTCGATACGATTTCAATATTGAACCCGGGATTCAATAGAAATAATCTTCTTGCTTATCACAACAGAAATATTTATGGAAGGTCACCTTCATATGCGCCACAGTGTGCTCTATTATTTCGAGAAGGTTGGAAGTTGGCACAGTCATAAAGTGATCTCAACGAATCCCTCGGCGATGGAACAGTTAGCCAAAGCCGAATAAGTAATGGAATCTACTCCCACATGTGCCCTATTCACTAACAGAAACTCCTATGGAGTATCACGTCAATCGCTCGCTGAAAAATTGGCTAGAGAGCTTTCGACGAAATGGATGGCTTGATGGCCGACGTCAGGGCGTGGATCGCCTCCAAGAATCGAGACTTTTTCGCCTTCTGGAATCCGATTTCCTACCAGGAGGGAAGTAGTGCTTGACGTAGATGGTGCATGCGTTCCGGAGTAATTATTGAACATGTCTTTGTTAAATAGCTTTATTGCTTTTTAAGCTTTTTAAATAGAACTTGTTGGAAAAAATCCGCTTTAATAATGCATCAACCTAATATTTTCAATCCAGTGCACGCTGTGAGCGTCATGACAACCACAGAACCACGTAGGAACAGCGGAGAGGAAGGGGAGAGAGAGGGGTGAAAGAGGGAGCATCTCCGAACTAACAACTGACTGTCTTTCAACGTGCAACCAAACCGCCAGGGAAGAATTCAAATTCCGTACCATTAGGATGTTATAAATAAGCCTCTGTTCTGGGTACTGTAGGTACACCATCAGAGATATTGCAATGCCTTCAACCCCCTAAACCTTTTCACTGCACTCCGCATGAAATTATTTCTTTTCCTTAACTGTTTAACTGAACGTATTTCTTTAGTGCTGACAGCGAATTTGCTCAGTGGCCGTGGACAGCTGCAGTAACCAATAATATAATGCCATCTCCATGTGGAATTGTTGGGTATGGAAATTTTTCATTTTCCAAGAAGTCTTATTGTTAGCAGTAGAAGTAAAGAAAAGTTGAATTTTATTTTCAAATAGAATGATTGGGATGTAACTCGAATGACTTCTGTAACTATGCCGAGTATGCCGTTAAAGGCACAGTTCACGATACTTTCGGAGTGCTTAGTTCCGGTCGGATGATGGAAGTGATACCTTACCATAGTACAGAAGTGTTGTTGAAATCGCGAGAAATGGCGTATGTTTGAAGTATACGGGGCTTTTAAAAAATAGCACAGTTAGGAGAGTACGATAATGTGACGACAGGAGGTGCATGGGAGGAATATTTGGACGAGGTGTCCGAGTGTGTGTGCCATTCCGTACAGTTGTCCACAGTATGCTGCCAGCGTACAACGTGTGCATCGCAGTGCGATTGGTGCAACCTTTACAGCCTTTAAAACTCCGTATGAACTAATCCGCCTTGGGTTGTGCACGTCAGCTAAACCTATTTTATGGCACTTATTTTTCCCAATCTTTCTCAGCCCAACAATGTCACCTGTGTTCTACTATATTTCGGGTCACAGGTTCTCTTCGGGGAAGAGCCCGAAAACCACTTCTAAACTGTGCCATTGATGAAGAAGTTTAGAGGAAGCAAAACAGATAAGGAAGGATGAAAACTGCAAAGATATCTCAACATTCCAGAAAATACTCAACTCCACCTGATATACGCACCCAGGAGTGCTATAATGTGACTGTTGATTGTGAGAATCGAAGTTTGATGAAGATTACGGCAGCCCATTGCTCGACGGATACAATCTTCGATTGTGAGTGAAATGGTCATCATCACATGGGCTCACTGGCGGTTTTGAATTTGATAACCATTCATAGTCGACGTTGATTTGATGAGGGCCTAAACTGTCTGAAGCGTTTTTTCAGCTATCATTTTTGTGCCCTTTTCTCACTCCATACACGTCATACGGATGATTTTTCCTTCTTACCATCTTCCTTTATTCTGAGGTGTTGAAATGTGCTAGCATGTTACAATGAATCTAAATAACACCCTGATTGTAAGATTGGGTATTTCTTCGTCCTATCGCCGGTAACGTTACTTCTGTATCACTTTCCTCCTTTTTAAGCTCGGCTGTATCAATGCATTGCTTCGTGGAAGGATGAGAACTCTCTGTATACTTACGCTATAAAGGGTCAAGAAACCCATTCATGCTTCGTAAGTTTTCATACAGCTCAGCAAACTTCTGGTCTTAGAGACATAGGTTCCTCACGAAGTCGGAGATCAACTTGATAAAACTAGGACCAGACTTCTGAAACGGTTGAAACTGATTCACATTCGTTTCAAGGTAACGAAGTTCTCGTCCGGTCAATTGTACATGGCTTCAACTGGACCTCACTGTGTAAGGAACTTCAATTTTTCCGCTAATGCCGAGAGAACGATTGTACTCGAAGAAGAAGGTTTGTGGATGATTCCATAGAAAATTTCTTATCATTCAGTCAACAGAAGTACTGCCATCAATTACTTTATGGGTACTGAATCTTACTATATTTCAGTCAGCTGTGATTCGCTACAAAAGCAGAAACTTTCAAGGAAGCCAGCTGGTAGTGTCAACCAGCTGAGGTCATCTCAAACGGTACAGGTAGACTCATGGTTGGAGAGTGCTAGTGTTCCACCGATCGGAAAATCAGCAGTAGACGACTTGCAATGGACATCAGATCCGACTAATGCGGCCGTGCGAACCCTAAACATAGTACTACTCGTTGTAATTTATGTTTGGTACCTAATCTAATAATGTCATAGAGTGTGATCAAAAATTATCAATAAAAAATTTTGAAACTGTTCGTGTGAATATCGAGGCCAAGCTTTCGTTCTCTGCTGAGAGCTCTCGACACAAAAGAAAAGAGTGATCAAGTGAAACGAAAAAGG